TTGGCCAAACATGCACCTAATCTAACAAAGAATGTGTAACATCATATTAGTCACTAATTGTTGTTGATGAAACAAGCATGAGAACTGTGGCACAAAAACATAATTATAAAAAACTTGTCCATGCCATATACATCTCACCAGCACTTGAATTCAGGCAGGCGACGAATGAAGGGTCTGAATTCATCAGAGTCTTTAGTTGGCAATGAAGTTCCATCTAGGGCTTCAAGCTCCGGATCAACCTTAGGGGACATAAACCCAATCAGCAAATTCAAGATATAGATTCCTAGGCCATACGAGACAACATAGAACCCCTGTACATAATAAACACGCAAGACATAAACTGCAGCAGCAGCGAGCGTTCCCAGCCACCGGCGAGTTATATGAGGAGCAGATCTATCCAAATAATACTGGAAAGCTCTTGAAAAGTCGTTTCTCCACTTGGCTAGTGGTGTCACAGGGGACGCATTATCACCCACAACTTCTTCCATTATAATCAGTCCAAACCTTTCCTGTAAATCCAATATAACCAAGGAAATTTATTGATAATAAATAAAGTAAAGGATAAATAAACTAAAAAGATGTTTAATGCACACAAACTCAATCAAATCAGTTGGAAACATGGATACCATGAGTGAATCTTTTATTAGTCAAATAAGTTATAATGGAAAAAACATCCTTATAAAGTTCATAACGAAAAGGAAAGTAACACAAAACGTGAAAAATTAATTTCCTAAGAAACAAAATTGAAAAGTTCAGAAGATGTTGATGCGTGTTCAGACTTAGATCATATTACCAGATTAAATCAGAATAAATTAATCAAATCACTTCTAATATTTCAATAGGAAGGTTACCTGTTATCATACTAAAATCGGTTATTTTCTTCAAGGAAATCATAAAATTTGATTTTAACAATTTATAGTCAACTCCAGGACTTCTAATCGTACGAGCTTGATAACTTGAATTCTTCAATCTTCAACCATTCGTTCTGTTATTTGAAATAACAAGCTAATAGTAAAACTGAATTCGGCAAGTTAACTACAAATATACATACATGCGCAAACACACACAGAAATACTTGCGTAAATATTATAGATACACAGATAGAGGAAAAAGGACCAGAGAAACAAACCTCAATTTAGGGATAGGAACAATCCAATTAAGAAATCAAACGACTCCGGGAGAATCTTACGGTATTACCACCGCAACTTTAAACTATAGCACTTCGAATCTTCGACTTTCATCTGGCATAAAGTATACAAAGAACAAATTGCATTATTTATCCTTAAGATATTGGGCTAGTATTAAATTGGTCTCCACCTTTTGAAAAATAAAAAGTTAACATTCAACATTTTATTATATGAACTTTAGTTTTGTTTCAACTTGAGTAGGTACTTAAGGCCATGTGATTAGCCCTTGTTTGACCCCATTATAACGAGATTTTGAAGATAATGTATTTTGAAATAATAATTTTAGAAGAATGTATTGTTAGAAAAGAAGGGAAAAAAAAGATTTATTTACGTGTAATATTATTTTATTAAAAAAAGGAAAAAAAAAACAGAAAAATGTATTAAAATTTTAATGAGGACCCAAAGATTTAGGTGAATATCGTACAAATATAATAAGAAAAATCAAACTACATGAAAGCTAGGGGTGTCAAGAGTCACAAGCACGAGCCGATCAGGTACATTCCATTGATCGAAGTTATCAAACACACTTGACATTTGTTTCATAGATACCGTTCGTAATCATAGTCAAGCGTTTATTTGCATCACAACAGATCTAGATT